ACCTGCTTAGCGATGCGGCTAGTTTTATCATTTCTTATGTGGCTGTGTGGATCGGTAAAAAGGCGTCCACCAAGCGGTTGTCCTTTGGATTTTACCGTGCAGGTATAAATGTGCATGAAACTTGACTTGAGTATACTAGTATAATAGGGAGACCCGGTGTCAATGAAATTATTAACAGCAGCTCGAGAAGAGATTTTAAAGACATTTTTGGGGGAAAATCTGGGTCTGAACATAGTTTTCAATTCTTAAGCTACCTGCTGTTTGCGGACTCCTCCTAGCGTCACTTGAGGAACCCGCTGGGAGAATCCAAGAGCTGAACAGTGCAAAAATGAAAGTAGGACTGAAAATTAATCCGAGGGGGACTGAAGTCATGTTTAACAAATACGATACGTGACCGCATGATCTGCCTAAGTCAGCGGACTTCGTTTCGAAACTACGTATATCTGGGACAGGTCATTTCTGAAACAGAGAATCGGTTATGTGAAACCAGTATAACGTATGGAGCACTTTTTGACGATTGAAAATGTTCTTATTTTGGTAACTGCCTTTTTGCTTAAAACGGAATGTTTTCTCGATCAGTGTATGCACCCAGTGCTAACCTATGGGTTTAAAGCTTGGACCCTGTGTTTGAAAACTATCTAAAGACTGCAGACTATTCATCCAGCATGGATGGAGGTGTTGTTAATAGCAAGAAAAGATGAGAATGCGAATGAATGGATAAGATCGAAAATAGGAGTGTGTCATGCCATTGACCAAGTGAGGTTGATAGGAACACATTGCTAGAACAGCCGACCATCTTTGGATCAGACTGAAAATACACTTGGTTCCAAGAAAGAGTAAAGAATGAAGTGATAATAAAGTAGTAGATGGGAAGGACGAGTGGAAGAAGTTCACTGAATCTAGCTCTGAATAAAAATGACAGAAAATAGAAGTCTATGGCGAAGTGTTTGAGAGGCCTTCATCCAGCAGTGGATCGACAAAGGCTGATAGTATGACAAGGACTAATGATGTGGCTATACTTGTTTGACTACATGCAAGAACAGTTAGGTTTTTACCGAGGCATAGCGTAAAACTTCATTCTTTTCAGCTGATATATTATCCCGCTGTACTCCAGTACCGAAAACAAGTTGAAGTCGATTACTTGCATATCATTTAATATCATTTAGACAGTGTCATCGCAGCGCTTGTGAAATTTAAGGTTGTGCTGTCACCCTTTATATGTAACCGATTTGTTGGAGTGACAAGTTTATTATTTTACATTGTTTTCGAGAAGCTGTTTTATTATATTTATGGTAATCGAGAGACTTGTTTCGCATTCGTTCATGATGTAAGAGACGAACCGTTTTTATCTCAGAATAACTACCTAAATAACGAGTTAAGTATTTCCAGCAGCTTGTCAACGGCTGTTTTCCAGGTTCATCTTCGAAAACTGGCCATCCTGTTCATCGGAACTTTCGTTCATACATCTAGTGGCTGCCTCTGGACCGCTACCAGGAAGGCGGTGGTGGAATTTGATAGTTACATTTCCATTAACATGCAAATTTTCGCAGTTGCAATGATGGCACTGTGAGCATAAATTTCGTTTGGTTACCTACACAGAGCAGTTTTCGCTTGCCGATACGTTTACTTAGTTTAAACACTGGCTACTGCTGTTAGCTCAACTTTATAAACAAGATATGAACAGATCGATTTGTTCCTTTCGTGTTATATTGCGCTTTTGTGGTGACATAGCATTCGCGTTGATTCGGCGTTTTCTTATTAGGTATTTTTATTCGTAGAAATTCTTGGAGCAGTTCTCAGCATCCTGATCATATGGATCTTAACCGGGGTACTGTTGTACGCGGCTTCGGAGCGCATCATTAATAATAACTACGAGATCGAAGCCGTTCCGATGCTGATCACGGCCGGCTGTGGTATTATATTCAACATTATGTACTTTTAGCAACCTCCGCCCCTGTTTTTGTGTGTACATCAGACTTCATTTCAGAATGGGTTTTATTTTGCATGGAAAAGGCCAAGGGCATAGCCATGGTCACCGCCAGGACTGCTCAGCGTTCCAGATCTTGCAGGAGAATGGCGACTTGTCGAGCACATCGACGACGGGCGACGATTCAAGTTCAGTGTCCGGCTGCGTGCGGCCGAAGAAGCATAAAAGCATCAACCTGCGAGCTGCGTTCATCCACGTTCTCGGCGACTTTGTACAAAGCATAGGAGTTTTCATCGCCGCGTTGATTATCATGTTTCAAGTAGGCAGTGGCTGTATGCTAATTTATCTGTATTAAAATATTTTATTTTGATTTTAGCCTAGTTTTAAACTCGCTGATCCGCTGTGCACCTTTCTCTTCTCAGCATTGGTCCTTGTAACGACTTTCACCGTTTTACGCGATGCCGTTATTGTCCTGATGGAAGGTAATGTTTTATTGCGAAGCGATCACAGGACCCTTTTTTCTTTTAGCCACTCCACTGGATGTAAGTTACGACATCATTAAACAGGAACTTTTCTCCATAGCTGGAGTAAAGTCGGTGCACAGTTTGCATCTCTGGTCACTGACTCTCGACAAGACTGCCTTAGCGGTGCATCTGGCGATAGGTAATCCTTGTCTTTTTGATCAGTACTTTAATTTTGAATGGTAGTGTGGAGTTTTATCGTTTGCAAACAAAGTATCACTGCTAGGCGAAAAGTATCAGGTGCTGCTGTATTATCACGTAGCTGATCGTCTTCAGATTTGAAAGCATATGTTGGTGACTACAACATGTTTATTTGAATGTCAAACTAGAGTTCTAATCGGCATTAATGATGTCATGCCAGTCAAGGAAGTTTGTATTCTCTAAGATTTGTCAAAAATCTCACTGCGGCACAGTTGGCTAAATTCGATAGTATTTAGCTCAGAAGGACTCTTCATTAATATAAACCATTTAACTTCTTAAACTCATAATGGTACAGTGTCATGGATGATTCAAAGTGATACATATTCTAATTCTTTGGCTAGCTGCGTAAGAAACTAGAAACCTTTTTGTTTATTACTGTTCCAATGCTTCTATCAACTGTTATCGTTTATCATCAAGGAGCCAACAAAGCATTTACTTGTCACAGACAGTTGTACCTATTTTGTTCACAACTGGAAAATGAGCGATGCCCATTCAGTCGAAACCTTCTAATCGTAAGTCAAGTTACTGGGATAATTTCCCAGGTGTGACCTATCTTGCCTGTAGATTACAACTAAGAAATGAAAGGTAGCTGCTTCGATCCTGGTGAGGTTCGCGCATCTTCAGCCTTTACCATCCTTACTAAACTGTTTAAATAAATGTAAAGTATTTTTTCAGTGAATTATTCATAAACATTAATTGGTCAGTATTGTCTCATTCTCTGGAAACTTCCCTCGTAAGGCATGCGTTTGCTGTCAATCACCCAGTGAGTTAAGCGATTTTCGCCTTTCGGGTGAAGCATGGAAGTAATGCGTATGGATGTTCACCATCTGCTTCTGATTTCTCGTGTCGACGGCCTTGAGGCTGCCGACGTCCACGCTTGCAACCTCTGCACCTATACCAGTATATGCAGGACTGTTTGGACTGCATATTGGCGTACTGCGGCAGATTATGCTTGATGTCCCTATTTGTGGCCTTGCGTTCATAGCTGAGGCCGTTCTGATTTGCGGAATTTTAATGAGTTTTACAAGTTCGTAAGGTAGCAGAACTTCTCCACACTGTACACTCTCTGTCCCTCCATTTGAGTATCAGCACTTCACTTTCCAGGTTCTTTGAGCATCTTTACCGTATCTTTTGCCAAGATGTCTGCAGTTGTAGGTTATTCTGGGCATTAGTGAAGATTGAGAGCATTGCTATGATGCGGCATAATGTTTCTAAATATAATCTGCTCAATTAAGAACTGCAAAAATTGAATGCTAGATACAAATGATTTAATGTTACCGAATTTGCTCACGGATTCAGTTTACGACTTTGCTGGTAGACTCACGGGCTATTAAGTAATTACTCTGTATTAATCTCAATGATGCGGGTGGTAGACAGATCTTACCTGAATCTGCTTGGTTCAGATTCTGATATCTTGTTGAAGTGCTTTTCTTTCTTAACGTGATCAGATATAATATGATAAAGTTTTCTGTTGCAGATTTGTCGTCAGACCCCTTTCAAGTTATGAAGGAAGCCGAACGATTTATGCATGTTAAGCATGGGATTACGTTTGTCACGATTCAAGTGGAGCCTTACGATAATGAAGTCATGCGGATCTGCAAAGAATGCATTGGACCTCAAAAATAATATGTTCATCGATTTGAACTTAAACTTTTCGAGTGGTTCTGAACTTTACATAGATTTTTGATAATTTTGTTTTTCCATGCCTCTTGTTTTTGTACAGTAGGAGCAATTTTGATTAATTTATTAACATATTAAATTTGTAGTTTACATTTATTCTTTGTTTGCTGATTTTTAATTGATGGCGACTTTAGACAGTCATTTGTGTGCGATGGTGTTTTCTGACTGTCTTTGCTCCTGCTGTACACATTTCTAATTATTGAACGAAACTGTGATAAGTTATTTTTTACCATTGTCGCTCACGGCATGGCGAGTAAAATGGCATTGTTGCGACCGGCATCACGACTGTTTCATATGTTACCTGTTATCCACTGCCGACATTATTGTCTCTTGATTTCGCCTCGTTCCACCTGATAGCTGACTATACATTGTGATAAGCAGCCCAAAGTATGCAATCTGCTAGAGTCGCTGTTTAACTTGAGGATGGACTCATGTTCTTCCTCCAAATTGGGTGGATGGTCCTCTAACAAGGTCAAAGATTTGGTGCTTCGTTAGAGAGTTCAGCTATTTCGAGTTGATACCTTGCGGCATCATCAACTATTTCCTATTTTGTTCCAATTTCCGACTGTGTGCTCGCATTATCATTATAACATTTGTCTGCTTTCTCTGTTCAGAATGGGTGATGGCTGCATGTCGATGGTATCTTTCTCGTCGTTTTGACGACCTTTTTCACTGTCACCCATAAAATGAGAGATGGATAAGATTTTTGACGTTACAACAAGATTCCATTTCCTTCCATCCAATCCATTAGGTCTTTTCAACCTCGCTGAAAATTGAATCACTTATTAGGGCCCACGAATCACGAAAGGTCAAATTACATCATTACACTTTCTCGCTTCTTCGTTTCATACTTTGTCTACCTTCTTCATATGACTTTTCTTGATTGAATTTTTGGTGAGCTGATATTTTTTTTATAATTTGCTTATCCTTTTAGCAATGTTTATTTCAAGAGAAATCTTTCCGCAAGAAAGGGAATTATCATGTTCAAAAATTTCAAGTTTCACAACTGCAATCATTTCGGTTTCTTTTCTTACAGTACCTTTTCATTAAATATTCAGAGCCCATGACCATAAGTAATTGGAAGTGCTATCACGAATTTGGATATTTTCTCAATGTCACAGCTTTCTTCAAGACCATAGTACTTTTCGAATGAGCCATTACTTCCCTTGCTTGGCCAGTTCCTGTCTGTCTGAGTCACCCACTCACGTATGCTGCCGCGATGTAATTTAAATTCTACATGTGAGCTAGTTGTATTTCATTTACCTGAAGGGCACGCTGAAGAATTTTTCTCGAGAATACAAAAGCCTCTGTTCTAATTAGGCGATTTTGTTTCTTTTCTGGTGTTATAAATTACAACTGTTAGCCTATGAAATTCACGATGTGGAGGAAGGGCATTGTTCCCAAGTCGTTTCTGGGTATCAGGGGGTTACGCTGAACAATCTCAACTTCAAGGATCTCCGCATCGAAATGTGGCTATTCATGTTATCAACGAGGCTATCCAACAATATGAAAGATGAGAGTTGGTGCGTTTCCTCTGTAACTGAAATACGAACTTCTGAGTTGCCGTGTAGAAACTTGGATGATCCACTGTATATTCTCGCAGAGGCTTCTGGCAGTTTTAAGATCTCACGGTTAGAACACTTCACTCATTTAGGAAAGTGAGTTTTGCTGTGTAGTAAAAAACATCAAAGCAATCGACTGTCAGCATAAAATTTACATTGTAAACAAGATTATATCGCATGTGTAAAACTTGATGCAGCGGACGTCGTAAAGATTCAGGTTTGCTGCAGCCTGTGAGAGCAAACGAAGCTGGAAAATTTTGAGGGCATGTCGCTGCCTTGCCAAGTTAACCCACGGATAATGGCTGATGAAAGAGATATTAATTGTATGAAACTAGATTTGAGTGAAGATGGGACGCGGAGGTCAAAACATGAATCAAGTTTCGGTTCACTGTAAGCAAATCAAACGTTGAAGCATTTCACTTGACATTTAATGTTTGATTTGATAATGATAATTGTTTCTAGTAACCGCTGACAGCTGCTTACAGGCAAACTCTAATCAGATGTTTATGGACAATCGGCTGCCATCTCGCCCTCGGTGCCATTGCATGAGCAAGCGCTGGTAAAATATGATATTTGGGTGCAGCCAATCTTCCCTCCATTGTGTGTAGCATTATGTTGTCAAAAATGAAGCTCCAAATGCATTCATTTTTTGCCGTGCTGCAGTGTTTCTTTTCATCACTGCGTGGATGAAAAGTGTTTCTATTAGCTCTTAGTCTTCACTGGTTGTCAGCCATTATGTAGTCCATGAAATACCGCGAAAAGTCTAGCGATGTAAGGTTTAGTTAAGAGCTTAGAGATATGGGAATCAGTAGTTTAGTGAATCGTGTTGAATTATAAAACAAAACGAATGCTGACAGCCTTCGGTAAATTCCGTTTGTTTATAAAGTAAGTTTTGAATTATGTTCAGCAGGCTTCGCTGGTATTCTTGTAGCTGGCAACAGAGGAAGAACTGAACAATTAACAGCTGACACAAATGAAGGGTGGAAACGATACGTTAAAGGATGCTTTAGAGCCTGTTTCTTCATACCAATGTCTATAACAACGATCACCATGATGCGTTCCTTGTGTATGCTTTTAGGTGTACATCTGCCATGTCTTGGTGAGCGATCGCTAGATACTGATTATTACAGACGTGAAATGATTGACAGACTCATTGATTATGAAACTGCCTTCCTACTTTGATGACAATAACCCGTAAATAATTTTATTATGGGGTTGGTTTCTTCCTGGATGCTTTGTTGCTGCATGTAGTTCGTGTTCTTCTGATCATCCGTTTCCTGTTTGATGGTCTTATAACTCTTTAGGTTCGATTTACAAACTACTTTGCGACTGCGGAAAATACTACATAAGAGAAACGGAAATTACCATCATCCAAAGAACCAAGCAGCACCTGTCAAACTGGAGAAGATGGATAACTGTAGAGGAACGCGAACGATATGCGGCAACAAAGCATTCAGGAAGAAAACAAACGTTCACCCTAACAGAGTCAAAGGACAATCTAATAGTCCTCAGGGATCATGCAGCCGACTACAGAAAAGAGTCACTTTCCCCAATAGTTAGATTGCGCGGGCATAGTTTTAGAAAGAAGCAGGCTAAGAAGACGAATCAGAGAATCCCTCGTTATCAAATCCTACAAAATGTCAACCGGGACAAAGGATATGAACTCTTTGTATCGAAAACTCCTGAATCGAACAACCTGACAACCTTTGTCAAGCCCGTGACCCAACTACTTAAGCAACAGGA